TTGCAGAGGTTTCAAAATACGCATCAGCAAGTACAAAATTGTACACAAACATTTAACGTGCAGGCTTCCTCGGCGCCCCGTTGGCAGTGCAGCCCGAGGGGTCGTCAGCTTGCATATTACTTCGTACACAGGCTCTATATTACTTCTATATTACTCTTATATTACCGCTAAAAATTCATAAATATTACCGAATAGACTACTTCAAGCCTAGGTAGTATGAAAAATCAGCCAAAAAACGGTAATATGGGACGTAAATTACCATATATTACTGTATTACTTCGTACACGCGCGATAGGAGTTGACGACCCCTCGGTGCAGCCTTACCGTCGCGCGGTGCACCGTCTCTCTCCACCGTCTCTCTGCCTCGCGTGCCCACTGCAACTTACCTTCGGGAAGTCCGCCTTGGGCAAGCCGACGAGGGACCGCTGCGAACACTGCGACTGCGTTCCACGGCCCGAAGTGCGCCACGAACTCTGCAACGGAAGTGGAGAGGAATTGAAGGAGGGCAACGGATCCTGCGAATGCACCGTAACATCGGGAAGAGAGGACGCGCGGAAGGGTAACGCTCGCGGTTACGCAATAGGGTACTTTCGTAGATCCCTGCACTCTCAGCCTTTTACTGACTTTTTCTCATTGGCTTACGCATTTCTGTAAGCAACCATAATACATAGTATTTTTTGTCAGTATTACTTTAGTAATTGCTAATTAGTGTACTGATATTACCGTTTTCTTAGTAAATTACAAAGAAATTTTTATGTATTTAAGAACTAAATACTAAGTATTATGGTTGCTTACAGAAATACGTCTGCTAATGAGAAATAGTCAGTAAACGGCTGAGAGTGTGAACCGGAAGCACACAGACGCCATGTTGGCGGAAGTAGATCCAAACTTGACATGGGAAAGAGACGTTCGTCAAACGTATCGGCCACACTTAAACATTAACAGTCGTTTGATACTTGTTTGCAGTGCATATGTGTTTCGCGAGCAATATTTGTAGCTCGGCTATAGTTCTGGATCCGAAGAGAGGTTAGTTTCCGGCCAATTTGGCGTCTGCTGGTCTGCTTGCTTCCGGTTTAGGATCTACGAAAGTACCCTATTTCCGGATCAACACTCTGATAAGTCTGAGGGGCATTCCAGAGCCGATTGACAGTGGTCGAAGTTGACCTTTGACGATTTTGCTCATTTTTGGCTCAAATGTTACCTACCCATAGGGTAACATCCCCACAAAATTTCAGCCCTCTAGGTCAGTTAGTATGGGAACTGTGAGCAATCAAAGTTTTTGGCTATTTTGCTTTAGTCGTTTTCGACCAAATTGCACTTTTTTACTGACATGCTCCGGAATTCTTTTCTTTTCGGTCCTGAGGTCTGAAAATTGGTACTCGAATGTAAAATTGAGTGGGGAATCCGAATTTGCACGCAGAATCGACCTTAGAGCAGTCCATCGTTGATAAAAACGCACTCAAAGCCAAAAATAGCTTTTATTTAGTGTTTTACAACCTTCAATTTTCTCCCCATCCCGGAATCATAACTGGACCCGTTCTAGGCGGGAAATCATTCCTTAGACAACTACCTAAAAACAAGCGGCTCGAGTTACCGAGGGTATGGGTATGGTTTGGACGCTGCAGTGCTCGCAACTTTAAAAACTGCTGAATGTTCAATCGAATGAGATCTCATTGATCGGTGCGTCTGACAGCAATTTGCATAAAGACTTTTTTCTTTAAAATTTGATTTCTGACAAATTGTTCTCAGGACATTTTGCTCTATCTCTAACGGTTTGTGAAATATGAGGCTAAGATGGTTTGGGACCGAAAAATATGTCTCTGGAGTACTATCTAGTTTTGATCAGCACCTCTTGAAACGCCTTTTTAACATAGTCCCTTGAGACATTTTTTCGGGGGCTGAAAGTCGAAAAGTGACAAGTCCACGACCACCGGTCCCCGAAAAAATGTCTCAAGTTACCCCATGACCGGGGGTAACTTGGGACAGTAGGTAATTAGCTACATTCCCATGCATCTACTGATGTTTATGGATGTAATAAATTTAAGGGGAGGTTCTACTGAAAATATTGCATTTTTCAAATTGAGCCCCAGTGTAAAAATTTGTTGCAGATGTATAGTACTACATAGTTAATAGTCAAACATGAAATTTAGAGCCCAATACCTCCCTCCAAATCGAGTCGAAGAGGTCTTTTCAGCCTATTTTAGCAATATCTTAGAAAATTCGCCCACGCAAAGTATTTCAACGTAAACTCATGATCTGGACATTTTTCACTTCTTTGGCTCATATGCAATAAAGCGTGGCATCCCCAAGACATGGGACCCAACAAATTAATTTTGACGTTGCTTTCAGAAAAAAAAAAACTCTAAAATATCAGGATTTTTACCATTTTCTTGAAATTTTATTGACATGCTTTCTTAAAAACACAGCTTATGATTTTGTTTTGGTCCAGTATCTTTCAAATGCCACGGTTTATCAATTATGAACCAAAGAAGTGAAAAATGCCCAGAACATCAGTTTACGTTGAAATACTTTGCGTAGGAGAATTTTTCAAGATACGACTGGAGATAGCAGAGAATTCCTCTTCGACTGGATTTGGGGCTAGGTATTGCTCTCTAAACTTCAAATTTAACTGTTTACTATGAAATACTTAAAATTTACAATGAATATTGATAATGGGACTCAATTTGAAGAAAGTAAGATTTTCAGTAGAACCTCCCCTTAAGCCACAACATGTAGACCAAGAATTCTGGCCTAGGAACTCTTGTAGGACCGATATTGGACTACATCTAGGGCTCTACGTAGAACTCTCTTTTCTACTGGTATTTTCCAGGCATTTTTGGAAAATTTCAAAATATGGATTACCAGAAGACAAAACTGCTGAGCAGCATCTCTTTCCACCATCAGCGTAACATCCGAAGTTTAAGTTATGTCAGGGACCGGGTCAGTCAACTCCTTGGAGGCTAAGACCGCTGGAAACATAAGGGGAAGACTGTCCCAAGTTACCCCGTAAAATTTCGATTTTTGATAAAATGAAGTCTGGACCGAAGGTGGGAAAACTATAATCAACGCCCTTTTGCGAACGTTATTGTCTGTGTATGATCTAACAACCCAGAGAGACCAATCGGCCAAATCTGCATTTCACTCCTTGCACTAGGGTCAACTTGTCAATGTTTGACATATTTTGTCCAAAACGCTATTATGTAGTTTCCCGTTTCTCAAATACTAATTGCGATGTTATGCACCTTTTTTACCTTTCCGCGCGTGCCCTGAGGCCTCTGGAACAAAACCCTGCCGCGGGTTTGACGCTAGGAACCACCGTCGCTGAATGGCAGCACCAACAAGCTGTACAGGGCAGACTGTCCCAAGTTACCCCCGTTGACGGTTTTTGTTGAATTCAGCTAACACCATGACCACTCCACTCCACCTCGCGACTTTCAGTGCTCATGTTCCTCGAACAAGACTCACCCGCGTATCGAAACCATCCCTCCCGAGTTTACAAAGTTTGTCAAACCAACCGTGGCGGAGTTGTTACATTGTGAGTAAGAACTATTACCACAGAATTGAAGAAAACATGACTAGAGAATCATAGCCTTTTGAAACAAGCCAGACAGTTCAACGTCAGCAACAATGGAGGGGCAGTTTTAATGCGCGACTACTGGTGTTTTCAGCTTCGTGACTTTCGCAAGGGCGCAGACGCCGAGAAAAGTGTTGCCAACCCGTGAAAATTAATTTACTGCCTTTTCTCTGCTACGAAAATTTTAATAATGATGAACTTCCAAGATGTTCCATTGTCAGAACCCTGCGGAATACATAAGCATTGGAATTTTTCGAATTTCCCGGCATTTTAATTTCTATCTATTGTCAAGTTTAAATTTTGACGGATGGCACATCGACCACATTGGTACCACTGCCATTGGCAGTCACCCCTGAGCCACCCCCTATCCCTTTTACACAACTTCTTTTCTATTTCCACACTCTTACACTAAAAACAAATTGACTTCGTGACTCCTAGGATTTCTTGAAATCGCACAATCACAAGAGATAAACCCAGTTTGGAGATAAGTCGAATTATTCCCTTCTTCCGCTTCCTGCAGACTCATGGATCAGTTTACGATGCTGTGGCTGCTCCAGTACCAGAACGCACCAACGTGACTCTGCGGGGCCTTGTTCCCTGTATTTTACTAAATCCCAAAGATATTGGACGTTGGTTACAGTGAATCCTGCGCAATGTGAGCATTGCAGTAGAACTTTTTAGGAGATATATTCTGGTCGTTATCTCTGCCCTCCAAATTTACTAATAGTAAAAGACGAAGGAGTTTACTTGTGTAGCTTAGACTCCTTAAAGAACAAAGATAGTCGCCCCTCTATGCGTTTTTTTTAAAAGCTGCTTCTTTCTCTCGATCCATTTGTGAAGTACGTAATTTTGTAGTAAAGATTTCTAAGCAAATGAATATTTTTATTTATTTGACGGTAAAAGTTTTACAAGCAAAAGTTTTCTACATTTGGTGCTGTTCTGAGCACCTCACTAAGGAATTTACCCATTGGAGACTTAAATCAAATATATCGCTGAAAACAAGGTGTCCGTTGTAATAAGATATTTTCAGCGCTGTTCTGAACACATTTGGTTTGTCCACCAGTTGTTTGTTTTTTTTTCTTTCTTTTTTCTTAAAGAATAAACGGGAAGCTAGTTACACTACAAGATCAAATGTGTGCTTAGTACTTAGCTATGGGAGCGTACTTGCAAGCACACATCTATAGCTGTATGCTTGGACAAGCACACATCTATAGGTGTATGCTTGGCAAGTACACATCTATAGGTGTATGCTTGGCCAAGCACACTTTAATCCCACCCATTTAAAGGCACACTCCTACAGCTGTGTGCTTGGCCAAGCAGACATCTATAGATGTGTGCTTGTCCAAGCATACACCTATAGATGTGTACATGCCAAGCATACACCTATAGATGTGTACTTGCCAAGCATACACCTATAGATGTGTGCTTGCAAGTACGCTCCCACAGCTGTGTACTTAGCACACATTTGATCTTGTAGTGTAGAAGTTAAGGAGCAAGTCAATTTATTTCGTAGCCTTTGCTCTGAACTGGTCTACATAGATGTGTATTATTTCTAGTCTTTTGACAATATTCCTCTTTTTCTATTAAAAGACTTATCTGCTTTACACAGAAAAATTCAAAACAGTTATGAAAAAACAAAACAACTAATGATTGGCAGTATTTAATGGAGGCCCTCGTTTTGCAATCAACCCTATTGATTCAACAACTGTTATTTTTTAGTTAAGGAGGGAACGTTTCTTACACTTGGGAGCCCTTGGATGGGCACGAATTCAGAAAGCGTCCTAAAAGGGGATTTGTACGTGTACTGAACAAAACAAAAACCAATACACCGCAACCACACTTGTCCTAATTCAGATAGTTCCTCCTTGGTTTGTCCGGATGCGCTGTTTGTGGTTGCTGCTCGTGCTGCACTTTTTCTTACTAACTGAGAACTCGAAAGGCTTCTACCTGGTGTGGGTTCTGAGATGCCTTCTGAGGTTTCCGGATTCACTGAAACTCTTCTTACAAACGGTGCACTTGTAAGGCTTCTCCTCAGTGTGGGTGCGAAGGTGCATTTTCAGACCTCCACTTTGAGTGAACTTCTTCTTGCAAACGGTGCACTCGTAAGGCTTCTCCCCGGTGTGGGTCCGTAGGTGCCTTCTAAGATCTCCACTTGTCCTGAAACTCTTCTTGCAAACTGTGCACTCGAAAGGCCTCTCCCCGGTGTGGATCCGAAGGTGCACTAGCAGACTCCCACTCTCAGAGAAACTCTTCATGCAAACTGTACATTCGAATGGCTTGTCCTTTGTGTGGATCCGCAGGTGCGTTCTCAGACTCCCACTCACTGAAAACTTCTTCAGACAAACTGCGCACTCGAAAGGCTTCTCTCCGGTGTGGGTCCGTAGGTGCGTTCTAAGATCTCCACTTGTCCTGAAACTCTTCTTGCAAACTGTGCACTCGAAAGGCTGCTCCCCGGTGTGGATCCGAAGGTGCACTCGCAGACTCCCACTCTCAGAGAAACTCTTCATGCAAACTGTGCATTCGAATGGCTTGTCCTTTGTGTGGATCCGCAGGTGCCTTCTCAGACTCCCACTCACTGAAAACTTCTTCAGACAAACTGCGCACTCGAAAGGCTTCTCTCCGGTGTGGGTCCGTAGGTGCGTTCTAAGATCTCCACTTTTCCTGAAACTCTTCTTGCAAACTGTGCACTCGAAAGGCTGCTCCCCGGTGTGGGTCCGAAGGTGCAATTTTAGACTCCAACTTCGAGAGAACTTCTTCTGGCAAACTACGCACTCAAACGGCTTCACCTTGGTGTGGGTGCGAAGGTGCGTTGTTAGGTGACTCTTTTGAGCAAACTTCTCCTCGCAGAAAATGCACTCGAAAGGCTTCTCCCCGGTGTGGATCCGCAAGTGCGCCTGGAGAACACTCTTGAATCGGAACTCCTTCTCGCAGACTGCACAGTGGAGCGCCTGCTTCCCTCCACGCTTTCCCCGTGGAGCACGCGGCGCCGCTGACGCTGCCGCCACCTCGCCGCACTGTGCACTCTCAAGGGCCATGATGCGCCTGGCAGGGAGGGCCTGCTGGAACACGCAGATCAATTAGTCTAACTTCAGGTTTGCCCACTGCAACTAGAGGACATTGACCATACCTTAGGTGCAGGCAAAGACCTCAAAATGCAGAGAGTAACGGTGCACACCGACTCGGGTCCTATTCTGCAACAAAATGAAATAAATTTGGTAAAGGAGTAAACGCTGGTGAAATTCTTGGCTGGACAGATTCCCCAAACGGTGGACAATTGGTCCAGTTAGCAATAACAAGAACACTAAAAGTTGAGTATAGAAACGAATCCCTGGACCGGAAGTCAAAGAATAGAAGTTAGAAATAAAACCACTTCTGCGCATGCACAAACGCCTACTTTAGGGTGGCAAAAAAAAATCGAAGTTTTTCCGATCGCCCAATTCCGGTCAGAAATCGATTCTAGACCGAAAAATAATAACCCTTTTTTGCGTTTTGTTCTGAGACGATTTTAAATACCGTCTCAAAAGCAAAAATGTTTTATTACCCATTTAAAACCCTCTTTTCTCGTCCGCGATCCCTGCGACCAGCAGATGATTAGCTTTCACCCTCCTTGGTCCAAGGTCTGAAGTTAGGAAGAGCCAGGTACTAACCACAACCGAACAGTTCCAGGCAGGATTTGACGGGGAAAATCCTTCACGCTTAATTACTATGTAGGTTTTTCTGCGCGCTAATGCACGAGATTAAACATGCACTTCGTAACGCACGAATTTCTGCGCGACAATGCACGATTTCCTCCGCAAGTATGGAGAAAAACGTGCATTGTCGCGCACCATTTCGTGCGTTACGAAGTGCCTGTTCAAATTTTGTGCATTAGTGTGCAGAAAAACCTACATAGTAATTTAGTGTGTTATTACCTTCTGGCAGAAAAAAACGAACGACCCGTCAAATCCTGCCTGGACCTGTTCGGTTTATCTAGGACCTGGCTCTTCTTAACCTCAGACCTTGCAAAAAGGCCAGAGAAGGTGAAAGAGTAAAACATCTGCTGGTCACAGGGATCGCTGACGAGAGAAAAAAGGGGCGAAACGTAACCAAAAAATCGAAATTGCGCGATTTTCTGCATGTTACAAGCAGAAACGGACCTTAAAACGCAGCCTGGCCAAAAATGATGCAAATCTTTTGGTAGTATGCCTTAAAAGACGGACCAAAATGACGGCTAGGGTTTTTAAGATCAGAGAAAAAAATTTCGGGCTCAGAGCTCGACAGGCTTTTAATTATATTAAAAACAACGAAATGCTTGCCGCTAGATTTTAGGCAAATTGATTTGCACAGCTCCAGTTCACGTGGTCGGGTTGGGATAGGGACAGGGTAAGATAAAAAAATTTACTAGGGCCGATCTCAGCCGTCCGAAACAAGAAAAAAAATCTCAAAATAGTAAACAACAAAAGTTTTTTTGAGCGAAAATCGCTAGCAGATTACTGAAGACGAAGTCTGACGAAAAGTTACTGAAAACGTAATTTGTTCGCTGTTAAAAGCAGAAGATTTTGCCGTCTCGCTTTTGAAAATCCAATGAAAATTGTAGTTTTCATGACAAATTTGGTGTTTTAAATAGGTACAAACAATTTTGTGCTCTTGAGCCGGTAATCGTCTATGGACAAAACGCCAAAAATAGGGTTTTTTTAAACTTGCGGTCTAGAATCGATTTCTGAGCGGAATCGGACGATCCGAAAAACTTTGATTTTTTTTTGGGGCCCCCCTAGCCTACTTCGAGTCGAGGTGGGACGTCTGCGCAGCAGCGGCACTTTTATTCCTCGATCTACGGTCCGGGGATTCGTTACATACAAAAAGAAATAGACTTAACACCAGGATGTCGCGCAACACAGGTTGACTCTTTCCCCCTATTTTTTATCGGATGCGGGCCTAGAACTTTTAGGACTTCTGCCTTTAAACAATTTTAGATCGTCTAACGGTGCGATCAACAATTGCCAACACCGCATGCTCTTTTGATTTGAGATCACGACTATAAGCGCGCCGCCGATGTCTATCAGGGGACCCTGCCGAAGGCCGCCCAGCGCCGCTGGCCAAAAGCCAAGTGTAAAAACCAAATTTTTGAAAGGATCGTCGAAACTGGTGCAGGTTTGCAATGGCGAAGCCTATAGCGACAAGCCACGGTTTGCCGTCTACCCAGTTGAGGACGTCCTCCCCTTTTCCCCCTATAGGGGCGCAGCATACACACTAAATGTTTATGTAGAATTTTGTACGTGCCACTTGCACGATTTTGTGCATGCGGGGAATTTGCATAATATTATGCGTGAAAATGCATAAATTTATGCAAATTCACGCACAATTTTATGCACGACGGCAAACAAGTTAAAAATTATGCATCACCACGTACAAAATTGTACATAAACATTTAGTGTGTAACGCTGGCCCAGACCACCCCGATGTAGCGTTACACAAAATTATTCATGAAAACACATCTTTAACTCTATCACATTCTGAGTGTTACGCGTGACTTAACGCCGTCCTATCATGTCCATACCGCAGCGTAACGCACTCGATGCCCCTGCCTCGAAGAGCGCACCGTAATAAAGGGACGTCCCCAAACAAACGCAACTGACAAGACGAACTCAAATCCTGGCCACTTGTCCTGTTTTACCTTTGCAAGTTAGCCCAACGTAGATCAGAAATGCTTCACGTTCCTCGCCGACTTTTCTTCACGCTAATCCGGACGACCAGAAAGAAATCCTAAAGTCGTAAGCACATTTGACGGTGGATCGTGACGTTTACAGTGACCGGAAACAAGGGGAACCGGCTTATCTAGCGAACTGATTCCTTGGTTGAAATACCTGCACAAACACTCACACTTAATGATTGTGTACAATTTTGTACGTGTAACTTGCACAATTATGTGCCTGTAAGTTCAATTTACATAATATTGTGGGAACAAGTCCATAAATTTAAACAGATCTGAGCGTAATTATATGAAAACCGTTGCAGAGGTTTCAAAATACGCATCAGCAAGTACAAAGTTGTACACAAACATTTAGCGTGCAGGCTTCCTCGGCGCCCCGTTGGCAGTGCAGCCTTACCGTCGCGCGGTGCACCGTCTCTCTGCCTCGCGTGCCGACTGCAACTTACCTTCGGGAAGTCCGCCTTGGCCAAGCCGACGACGAGGGACCGCTGGGAACACTGCGGCTGCGTTTCACGGCCCGAAGTGCGCCTCGAACTCTGCAACGGAAGTGGAGAGGAATTGAAGGAGGGCAACGGATCCTGCGAATGCACCGTGACATCGGGAAGAGAGGACGCGCGGAAGGGAAACGCTCGCGGTGACGCAATTCCAGGATCAACACTCTGATAAGTCTCAACCTTCAGGCTACTCAAAGGATACATGAGTTTTCAAAGAGAAAACTCCGTTATTCACGAACTATGTCACCGTATAAGATGCTGTGTAGTTTGTACCTGCTCAATGTACTTCGTAAGGTTCTACACTGGAAAAACTAAAGCGTAACTCTATGCTTGAGTCAAGCATAAAGTTACGCTTGAAGACGTTACGCTTGAAATGAAGCATACTCTGGAAATTCCCCCATGTATTTAGATAGGGGGAATCTTGGCAGTGAGGCCTGTTACGCTTGATTTCAAGCGTGACCTGATTATGCTTGAAAACAGAGGGTAATACTACGCTTTAGTTTTACCAGTGTAATGCGTGCTGTTTACTTCCCGTCGCTTCCGCTTCAGCACTTGCGAAATGCGTACACAGTTGATCCATGAAGCGGACGAAGAGGATAACTCAATTTTCATCATTTTTCAGGAGACTCAAAAAACTGATTGCAGGGTAAACTTCATCCAATCAGATGAATGATGCAATTGCATTTTTGTCAAGAAAGCCTAAGAAATAACTGTGAAAATTTTCATAAGTCTAGTGTCACTTTGAAGACGATTTCTGTGATTTAAATCTTTACATAGGAATAGACCACGGAACCATGTTGGGTCTAGGACAACTCGTCCCGACCTACTCGTACCCGGCCTAAGACATCCCTGAGGAAATCCCGTCCCAACTCATGTTGATCCCCACCCAATGTCGCCCCAATAATAATGTGTTTTTAACAATATTTTTTATTGAATTTGGCTTTATTTTACGATGGGACCTATGAACAACTTAGTTCTCCCAAACAAGGCGGAATTTGGAGACAATTCAAGTGGAGCGTAGAGTCAGCATTTTTGTGTGGTACATTTTCGGAGTTACCTCTTTTTAGGCACGAAGTAGCTTTATAGTATCCCCAAGAATCAGCCGGCGGGAGATTCAATTCGTGTGGCCCTTTATGCATTTTGGACATTTTCTATAGGATTTTAATGAGATTTTGCAGACTAGTACAACTTTGAACGCTGATTCTGATGTTGAAATGTGGTTAAAAAATTAACGGCCAATTTTGAGAAATTTGCTCTCAAAATCGCCGTTTCCATGGCAAAACTCGACTCGTCAAAGAAAAAGGGAGTGGGGGGAGCCGAGCTGGGGCGGACTTTTAGCCAAGCTTCTTTTCGGTTCTGTACAGCTTACTTCAAAAGCTGCAAAAACGGGTCATTTTGGATGTACCAAATGTCCTTTTTTTAAAGTTCAACTTTAGGGGATAAATTTGGTGCAGATGGCATACATAGTACCCCACAGTACCCCTCTGAGCGTGGCAGCGCTACAAGTTGACTTTTAATTTCACCCCCTATGAAATACGGCGGAATTTACAGAAATAATGACGGAATTTACAGATTACGGAATTTACGAAAGCGAAGTGTTTAGTCTCCTGACCCTCTGGGTTACAAGATAGGTAAAAACTGTTGACGGTATCATTTTGAGCATCCAAAATAGCGTTTTTTAGCGAAGGTTGTGGGAACTTTCTCCCTCAGATGGAGGAGCTACGGCCCGAAACGGAATTTACACCCTTACCGTTTTGAACAATTCTGACGGCCTGGAAGCGTCGTTTGACCGCCCCAGGTCCCGCGGGCACGGGCTTCTGGAAGCGTTTTTTATGTTCTTTCGATCCCAAGTGGTCGCGAGGTTCTAAAACGAAAAGGAACCCCAGTAGACCGTCAGTTGTGAACGCAGCATAGGTCCTATGGTCACACGGTGGACATTTTCCCATAGGCTGTTTCGGGTTCAACAAGTGATGATACAAAGGTCACCTTCCGTAATTTTGCGAAGAATGAGTCAAAGAAGAGAGTGAAATAGACAGTTTTTTTTGATGTGGCTGAGTCATATACTACAGCATGGCAATGTTGTCTTATAGGTGTTGGTGACCATGACGGAACTTACAAAACGACACTTTAGCAGCTTACAAAACCTAGAAAAACAAAAGTTAGATTGACTTATCCACATGAGGACATGGTCTTCGTTTAGTAAAACAAATTTGAATCGCCCCAGCTACCAAATCAACCTCAGTTCAGGCGCAATGCACCGGTGACCTGAAATGACCCCCTACGCACGGAATCACCCAGTCGCGCATTAAAACTGCCCCTCCATTGTTGCTGACGTTGAACTATTTGGCTTGTTTCAAAAAGCTATGATTCTCTAGTCACGTTTTCTTCAATTCTGTGTAATAGTTCTCACTCACAACGTAACAACACCGTCGGTTGGTTTGACAAACTTTGTAAACTCGGGAGGGATGGTTTCGAAACGCGGGTGAGTCTTGTTCGAGGAACATGAGCACTGAAAGTCGCGAGGTGGAGTGAAGTGGTCATGGTGTTAACTGAGTTCAACAAAAACAGAATTGTTTTATTGACAGAAAAAAAGTAATATTTGCGAAACGTTATGTAATAAAAAAAGAACTTTTGTTTTGTCATTTTTTGTTTGTATTTTTTTTAGAAAGTTATCAGATATAAATTGAAAATTTGTTTTATGACTTTTGATAAGCAGCAATCAAAGAAAAAAAACAAGAAAGACAGCAAAATGAATACAGATTTTGTATGGTTGGTTTAACTGTTTAACAGGTTGCAAACCTACTACGCATGTCCAAAAACACTCCGATCAAGAAGTATTATTGGATAGTTCTACCCCAAAAACTGCGGTCCAAACGACATCAATTCTATTGTTGCATCTTCTCTATCTGCAGTTAAAGAGATTTTTCATTTCGAACGTGTTTTAAAAAAAAAATTGACCCTCTACGCACGGAATCACCCGACTACTGGTGTTTTCAGCTTCGTGATTTTCGGAAGGGCGCAGACGCCGAGAATATTGTTGCGAACCCGTGAAAATTAATTAACTGCCTTTTCTCTGCTACGAACATTTTTCTGCTACGAACATTTTAATTGGCTGAGCGATAGCGAAGCCTGTTACTCCAGTGCGGTTGAAAAGCTTTGTCTGTCTGTCTGTCCGTCTGTCTGCGTGTGTGTGTGCACTACTCCTCCTGAACGGCTCGGCCGATCTGGCTGAGACTTTGCAGCCTCATTAGGTGTGTTCTTGGCTCAGCACACGCGAAATATCATTATCCTAGCTCCACTGGTTCAGTTTTAGTAGCAGAAAAACAACTAAAAAACGGCGAAAAATCGAGATTCCTGCAGGCGATCTCCCCTGTCTTGATGGAAGGGGGATCTGGGGGGAGGAGCCCCCCAGCCTCGACAAGTTATAATGTTACAAGGGTCAAGATCGTGTAATTTCTAGATGAAGCAACTCTAGAATGAAGGGGGGTCTAGGGGGTGGAGCCCACCACCATGCAACAAATTAGAAGTAACCGACGGTGGACAAGCATTGCCTGCCGAAGGCAGCCTAGCGCCGCAGGCCAAGGTAGGTACGCCAGGCGCGGATTGGAGGAACAGGCAGCGAGACATCGCGAAGCCTGTTACGACAAGACGCGGTCTGGCGTAAACCTACCTTGTAATGATGAACTTCAAAGATGTTCCATTGTCAGAACCCTGCGGAATGCATAAGCATTGGAACTTTTCGAATTTCTCGGTATTTTGATTTCTATGTACTGTCAAGTTTAAATTTTGACGGATGGGACATCGACCACATTGGTACCACTGCCATTGGCAGTCACCCCTGAGCCACCCCCTATCCCTTTTACACAACTTCTTTTCTATTTCCACACTCTTACACTAAAAACAAATTGACTTCGTGACTCCTAGGATTTCTTGAAATCGCACAATCACAAGAGATAAACTCAGTTGGGAGATAAGTCGAATTATTCCCTTCTTCCGCTTCCTGCAGACTCATGGATCAGTTTACGATGCTGTGGCTACTCCAAGACGAGAACGCACCAACGGGACGATGGGGGCCTTGTTCCCTGTATTTTACTAAATCCCAAAGATATTGGGCGTTCGTTACAGTGAATCCTGCGTAATGTGAGCATTGCAGTAGAACTTTTTAGGAGATATATTCTGGTTACTCGAGATTATCTCTGCCCTCCAAATTTACTGATAGTAAAAGACGAAGGAGTTTACTTGTGTAGCTTAGACTCCTTAAAGAACAAAGATAGTCGCCCCTCTATGCATTTTTTTTTTAAAAAAGCTGCTGCTTTCTCTCGATCCATTTGT